CTTTCTCTGTAAGTACTGTTTTAGCTGCATCACATAAACTTTTTATGTTGTATTTTCATACAAAATATGAATCTTTCTGATTTTCATGGTCTTCTATGTTCCATAAGTTATCACAAATGTGGCTTATTGGATGGGTGGGGAAGAGATAGAGAAAAACAACAACAGCTCAATGACCAGGACACTAAGGTGATTGCTAGGGGGAGGGCAGAGGAGGATATAAATGGAGACTTGACCAGCTCCTTAAGGTAAAGATTCACCTTTATTTGGAAAAATACCACCCAAGGAGACTACCTGCCATGAACCGCTTTTAGTCAGAAAGTTTTCACTTCAGACCTTCCTATGTCTGAGTTTGTAAGGCCGTGCAGGCCTCCCTTGAGCTTGTCATGTTTAGTGTGTGGCCCCCTTTTTTTTGTCCATAACATGTTTTCTGAAATTCTACCAGTTCTTCTCTTTCTACATTTCTTAACTTTTTTTTTCTTTTTCTTTTCTTTTCCAGCTTTCACTTGGATTGATCAAGTTATCTTTATTTCATTTTCCCCTCTTTACTGTTTTGGAAGGTTATATGTTTCTTCTCCATCTTCGTCTCAGTCTCCTTCTTCTTCCTCCACTCCTCCTCTTTCTCCTTCTCCTCTTTTCTCCTCCTCCTCTTCTTCCTCCTCCTCCTTCTCCTTTTTCTTTTTTTCAATTACCATCCTAGAAATTTTAACAAGTGTATTTGAGCTAAATTCTAAAATATTTCCATTCTTCCTTGGAATCTCACTTTCTTCCTTTATTTATTTTTTAGTCACTACTCATCCCTCAAATGCCACTGTTAATGATGCCTGTCCAGACTCTCCAGACTAAACCAGACACTCCTAAACTGTCTTTCCTAGTGTTTAGCAGGGCTTATGATTACATGCTTGTGGGCTCAGTGCTTGATCCCTGCCTCTTCCCAAAGACTGTAATTCCTACAAGGGCAGGGATTGGCTCTGTGCTGCTCTATTCTATTCTTAGTGCACAGTCTGTGCCAGGGCACATGCTGTGCAACAAACCTGGCTGAAAGCTGGAAGCAAAGCCTGAGGGAGGGCAAAGTGGGTGGTGATGTTGAGAGAGGAGGACTCAGGGAGGCCAGATCGGGACAAGTCTTCCACCTTCTGCTGCTAGGAATCACCTTCTCCTGCTAAACCCAGACGGAAACAGTGGTGGACAAAACTGAAGAGAAAGTTATTTGTTTCTCCTGTTATGAAGTCTGGAGGTGACAGTCCATGGCTGAGATGGGGGCTCCAGAGGGTCACCAGCCAGTCAGGTTCCTTATTTTCAGCTCTCCTATTGGCTCATGGCTTATATCCTCAAGGTTACCTTACAGTCCCGGAGGTTGGATGAAATTTCAATTATCACAGTCGAGATCCAGGCAGGAATTCTGAAGTGAGGTGTTACTGGAACCCCAGGGTTTTTCTTTGGGTCTGCCTGCTTGCACCCACTGCCCCAAAGAAATGCATGAGCAGGAGTTTGCAAAATAGTTTAACATTGAATTGGCCAGCTCAGGCACTGGGAGTTAACGCTAAAAATCGGGATCCCAGATGGCTTATAGGTTACAGGTAATATGTTTAGGGCAAAATCACCAGACACCATGGGTTAGGGGTTTGGGGTCATGCTGGGGGCAGGTTGATCGGAAGTGAGGAAAAGGTAATAAATCATTTATTTAGGTCTTGAGGGCAGCTCTTAGGTTTTTCTGTCCTTATTCATGGGAATAAGCCAAGGGGTCATTTCACCTTTAGGTTCAGGAAATGAGACCTAACTTAGGTCAAGATATTTTCTGCCGGGACCGGTTTGGCTCAATGGATAGAGCATCGGCTTGGGGACTGAAGGGTCCCGGGTTCGATTCCGGTCGGGGGCATGTACCTTGGTTGCGGGCGCATCCCCGGTAGGGGGTGTGCAAGAGGCAGCTGATCGATGACTCTCTCTCATCGATGTTTCTGACTCTCTATCTCTCTCCCTTCCTCTCTGTACAAAATCAATAAAATATATTAAAAAAAAAATTAAAAAAAAAAAAAAAGATATTTTCTTTAGCCTGCCAGAGGTCCAACTGTAAGAATAGTAAAAAGCTAGGAAAATTCTAGGACAACCAGAATAGGGAAACTAAGACATAAACAGCAGTTTGCACCCACCTAGTAAATCCTATCTCCCCTAAACCAAGGACAGTTAGGAGTAAATGGTTTGCACTTCTCCTCCCCTATGGGAGGATACATAACTTAAATCCTCTTCCTCAGTGAGACAGGTAACAAATCCAACAAATGCCATTTGCCAACCACACCTAAGGACAGACTAAAGAGAACAAATCTCATTTTGGTACATTAGCATAAAGCTGGTGAATAGTCTATTGATTCTCCCATAAACCTTCACTAAATGCCCAGCCTTTAAAACACCTGAAAATGAAGGCCCCAGTGCACTGTCCCTTCAGGCAGCATGCCTGTGCCTTTCCATTTCTTCTCTCCTCCCCCCAACCCCAGGCATGTATCCCTAACCTCTAAGGGACCTCATGAGACTTGCAACCAGAGGAGTAGTGAGCAGTGGCAGCTTGTCCTGGGCTAACCCCTGAACCTGTCTCCAAGGGGTCCTTTTCTCTAACTTCCCAGTGAGCCAAAACAGCTCAGCCTAGGCTCTCTTATTGCCTCCTCTGTGCCCTTCCTTGTTTCACTGTCCTAAGTGTGTTTTTGGTACAGCCAGTCTTGCTTGTTTTCTACACTATGTCTCTTGATTGAAACCTTTCCCCCAAGAAGACAAGAACCAAAGTCTACGCGTCTCCCTGTTAACATCTCTGGTCCCAGACATTAGGGTTTCAAGGCCATGCTGGGAACAGATTGATCAGAGTTGAGGTAAGGGCAATAAATAATTCCTTAAGGTCTTGAAGGCAACTTTGGGGTCCTTTCTGGAGTCCCTCTGTCCACTCTCATGGGAATGTAGCCAGGGAGTCATTTTAGCTAGGGGCTCAAGAACTGAGATGTAACTTAAGGTCAAGATGTCATCTTTAGCCTGCAGAGCTCCAGAGTGTGTAACCATTAGGCAGGTCCAGGCTATACACTTCTGCTGCCTTGGGGGTTATTGATTATGTGAGGGAAAGGCTAGGTCTCTGAGGGAAATACACACACACACATTGAGTGGCCAGATTATTATGATCTCTGAATGCATAAAAATCTGGCAACTCAGTGCATATACTATATGAAAATTGTTCCCTCGACCAGGAGTTTGACCAACAGGCAGGCCACCAACCGCCCATGTCCTCTCCCCCTGGCCAGGCTGGATGGACCCCATGGACGAATTCATGCACCAGGCATCTAATACACACACACACTACACACACACACACACACACACACACACACACACACACAGAGATTATTATGATCTGGCCACTCACTGTGTGTATGAGAGAGTTTCTAGAGCTAGGATTTAAAAATAAATTTAATCAAAGTCATATGGACCCTCAGTTTTAGGAAGAAAGGGCAAGAAAGATCACACACATCTACTGGTTACTTCCTCTTACCAAGACTTTCTTGGATTCCCACTGGTTTGCATCCTATGGATTACAGCTAAGTTCTAGGAAAGTTGCTTTAAAAAAAAAAAAATCTTTTAAAGCCAGGCATATTGCAATTCAAGTAAAATCAGGCCTGCTATTAAGGATGACTGGGGTGGGTGTTGTTGGGATGATCACTGCGGTATAGTGGTATAGACCATGGGCACAGGGAGACTTGCAGGCCAGTAAGAGTTTTTGGTGCTCCAGGTGAGCTGACATTCTGAATTAAGGAGACAACAGTAGGAATAGAAAGGCAGATCTGACAGAAGGGTGACGGGATCCTTGACAGCTCATCTTCCCACTTATATGCTTCAGGAAACACTTTGCCTCCTGGTCAATTTCACTTAGCAGATATTCTTTTCAGTTACCTCAAGGACATCATGAGTTAATCTCCCTAGTAAATCATGGAGTAAACTAAGGCAGAGTAATTTGTGTTTCTAAATCTATGTGGGACGTTATTTTTGAAAATTTATTTCCAAATGCAATTTCCCCCAAAAAATCTATTTTCAAAGACAGGACTATAGAGGACATTGATTAATGGGCATCAAGCATATGTTATAAAAGTACAGCCATTCTTCACTTATAGATAGATACACAAGGCTTCATGTCAGAAAATAACACTCGGGGAAACCATATGGATGCTTTATCTCCATGCCACAAACCATCCGAATTTCCTCTAGGTATTCCAAAAATCTTTTAAACCCAACATTTTCCTTCTCCTCAGAACATACTTATAAAAAGGCAACTTGAGGTATTTTGAGCACAACAGTTTTATTGAAAGGGAACTGGGTTGCTAGAAAAATATATCAAGAAATTTAACCAGAAAGACAAAACAATAAAAAAAAAAATGACAAGGCACAAATGCTTCTGGAGGTGGTTTTCACGGGTGGGATGAGCTCTAGAGTGTGCAAAGGTGAGGAGGCTCACCTGGGCTGGATGATGACCAGGTTGCTCTGTGCCAGCCTCTGAAACAGCTGGCAGGGGCAAACACTGCTGGCAGACGTGAGAAGCTGGAAGCAGGCCTGGGTGGGGGTGGGTGGAACTCAGACTTCAGAGAAGGGAGCATGATGGAGAATGTCCAGTGTACTGATGGGCAGAGGGCTGGCCAGCAGTTGCGCTGGTCCTTCCCTCCTTTAAGGTCCAGGACCCCAGTTATGCTCATTCTCAGATGTGCCATACTATTTTATTTGTATTGTTTTGGTTTTTGGTTGTTGTTTTGAATAAAACTCGCCTGCTTATGTCTGTCAATCTCTGTCATGGGAGTGGGCTGCTACACTAAAGGGGGAGTGAACGTTTATAGGGGTAAAAACCCTAAACAACCCTGGAGGCTCCCTGAACTCTCCCTACTTGGTGATTCTTTTCTCCAGACTTTGGGGAGCATCACAACATTTTCTGTAGCCATATCATGAGTCTTTCAAATACTTAACAAAACCAGCATGAAGCAATCTTAGTGAGGCATAAAAACTGCATGTCGTTTTACCAATGTTTGGCCGTTTTAAGAAAAAAGACTAATGGCGCTGATCAGAGGACCTAGCAGTTTTTTGAATTCTTAAATGCCATAGATCTAAAAAAAGGAAAACAGTAGAAAAAAGGAATACTTGTGGAGAATTGTAATGTGCCTCGGCTTGTTTGTAGGAAAATCCAGTTAAGATGTAAATACCCATAAGCCATGGTTTTTTATGGCACTAATACAATCCTGGGCATTGTAAAGGTCACAGATACCGAGGTTTCTTTTGAAGGTCACCCCTGACCACAGCAGCATCGCAGCTCCACCAGGTGACATTCTCTTCGGCCCCCTCCCTGCTGCCCTCCTCGGAGGTGGCAGTTTATTGATGGAACTGAAATTCAAGCACAAGGGAGAGACATAAAGACAAGGAAAAAGCCGTTAGTTATTTCAAAGACATAAGGGATCTTTCATCTGGCCACAGAAATTGAGGTGAATCAGGAAATGGATGGCGTTTTTTCAGGTCACATGAATCAGCGCCCCAAAATTCATCATTTTCACCGAGTGCTTGGTTGGTATTCTCATTCTTTTACATCATGTGCATGGCTGACATAAAAGTTTAGGGAGAGCCCTAAGTGTATTTTTAAGAGAGAACTAAAGAGTTTTGTTTTGAAAAGTATCAACTCTGATTCTATCTTACTTAATAATAGGCAAACATGTAAATTGACCATACTTCTGCTATGCCCACAGCCAATGAGAGTGAGTATGCAAATTAGAAGGCAAAAAATGGTGGCCGTCCTGCTGCTCCAGGCGGGAGTGGCCAGGCAGGGCAGGATGAGTGCTATGAGAGGGAGGGCAGGGGGCAAAGGGATCTACAGGAATGGAGTGCCACAGCCAAGAAAAGATTGCAGACTCTGGAGTCTGCAGCCAAGACGAAGAAGGCAGACTCTGGCTGGAGCGAAGGCCTGGGTCCCAGGTTCTGAAGGAAAACAGGTGCTGAAAGTGAAGTGAAGGGAAGGAGGGCCTATTGCATGAATCTCTTCATGTAACGGGCCTCTAGTAATGTGATAAGAAGCTTACTTTGGAACAGTGAGCAAACGTTAAAAAAACAAACAACAAAAACACACTCAGAAACTTCATTTGGAAGAATGAGACACCTGTGGATCCTTTAAAATAATTTTATTGTAGAGAGCCTACTTCTGTGCTGTGCCCTGGTGTTTACTTATATCCACCACTTTTCTCTTTCAGTGCATACAAAGGACACACCCAGAGCAGTGCATACAAAGGACACACCCAGAGTAGGTTCCTGTAAGCTCCAGGTGAGGAGAGGATAGCTCAGAAAGTTAAGGAACTTTCCCTAAGTCCAGTGGACCTCCGATGAGGGCCATTTCGCTTTCAGGACTCTCTAATCTACTCTTTGTTTCTCGCCTGTCTTCAGTATTAATTTGTAATTCATTATCATCAAACATACATATTTTAACAATGCTTGGGTGTAGCCTGTACACTGCCCATCTAATTGACCTCTCTCCCCCACATACACATAAAGTTACATAATTTATTGAGTTAAACGTTATCTTATCAGCCTTGCTGGCTTTATGGTGTAGAAAGCTATTTTCTTCCCACTGCTAAGCTCTCTCTGTATGCCAAGTTTTTTTTTTTTTAAGTGTACACACCTTTAACTGTAATTCTGAAAGGCAAGGACAAGGATTAATTACAGGCCGGGATCTTTTGTTTCTGTCTCCCTTTGCCCTGGCGGTGGAGGCTCCAAAGGTACCCAAGCACCCAAGGGCTGCAGAGTCAGGGTAAGGCCATGTCCTCCCCCCTCCCCCCCCCAACCCAGGAGCAGAGCAGCCAGGCTAGACCTTGGCAGCCTCCTCCTCCCAGGGTGCCTCCGCCTCCCAGGGCGTTCCTAGGCCTCTGTGCCACGTAGGCAAGAGAATCGGCATGTCAGGAATGGAGCTAGTGCCCCTCATGCCAAGCACACAACTGTTAGGCTGCTCAGTAAGGTCTCAGGAGCCAGGCAGCTGCCAGGCCCGAGTGCCCCCAACTCAACCCGGGGAAGAATGCTCCTCCAAGAGGCTCCCAGCTCCCACATTTCCTCCCGGATGTCTTAGAGGAAATCCGAGTGAGGCCTTGAGTACCCAGGCAGCTCAGTGCTAGAGAGAGAGAGAGGAGAGAGAGAGAGAGAGAGAGAGAGAGAGAGAGAGAGAGAGAGAGAGAGAGAGGGAGAGAGAGAGAAAAGATAGAGACTGGCAATTTTGGGCTGCATTAGGCTTCCATGGAAACCTTCAGGATTGCTTTCATTTAATTCTTTTATTAAAAACTACTTCTACAAAGTAAAAATGCAATGTCTATTTGTGTTTCTATCGTCTTCCTCTTGGATATGACAGTATGTGGCACATCTTCCAGCCAGGGGAGCGTTCTCTGCGGCACAGATGAGCTCAGTGGCACAGTTATGGGCATACTGGCCCCTTTCCCGTATGGGGCATGTCCACAACCCGCTCTGGAGCCATTCCTGAGTGTGGGTCACAGGGACGTCCTGTCCCCAGCTAAGGAGGCCGCGGTGGGGGCGTCCATGCAGGGGGACTCGAAAGCCACCCTCGGGAAGCCCAGGTGGAGACCAAAGGGCCCAGAGACACTGTCCCCACCGTCACCCCGAGGAAGAGGGACAGGCGCTGCTCTTTGGAGCTCTGAGCAGAAGCTGTGCTGAAAAGTATCAAGTTCTAGGAGTCTCGAAAGGAACTTTCATGTTCTTTTATGAATCTTGTCACCCGAGTACTTGCTCCATAGATCCGAAAGCTTCTACGAAAGCGCAACAAGTAACATTTGGCCTCAGAATTGGACAAGCGAACCTTATCCCTCCGGGAGCTCCTCTCAACGCTCAGCTGCCTCCCAGGTTCCTCTGATCGGTTCCTGTCTCTGATTGAACGCCTCTGAAATCGACCCACACCAGGCGGGAGGGTCACCCCACTCATCGCTTCTCCAAGACCGCCGGCGACTCTCTGGGTCTTTTAAGGAGTTTCCAGTTCAGAGCGCTCAAGAGGATGTCCCACAAAAAGGAGGAACGGATTACAATCCAAGAGGACTCCGCGGCCCCAGCCCACCCCTACCCACCCCCAACCACCCCCAAACCCCCACACCCCACCCCGATCGGCCGAGCGGCCGGGGGACACGCACGTACCTGGAGCGGAGGCCGGGAGAGGGGACGCGCCACGTCGAGGTCTCGGCCCGCGCCGCCTCCGACCCTTTATACTGCGCTCCCCACCCCACGCCCACCCCACCCCACGCCCAAAGTGGCCACGTCCCAGCGGCGGGACAGGCGCGGGGAGCCACTGACGGCCCGCGTGGGGGATCGGGGGGTGGGGGGAGGAAGCCCAGGCTCGGGAGCACTGCCCCAGGGAGGCCAAGTGGGGCTCCCGGGGCGCAGGGGTGCAGGGGGGCCCGGGGAGCAGGGGGGCCCAGTCCCGGGCAGGGGCGGGCCGGGGGCGGGGCGCCGGGAGGTGGCGCCAGCGGAGCTCGGGTTTCACTGCCCGGGAGGCGGCGCGGCGGGGGCGGGGCGATGCGGTCCGGGGGCGGGGCGATGCGGTCCGGGGCGGGGCGCGGCGGGCTGGGGGCGGGGCCAGGTGGCCCCGCGCTCCCAGCTCCGCGCCCCGCGCCCCGCGCCGCGCTACTCGCGGGGAAGGAGGCGCCGGAGGCAGCCGCTCTCTCCGCCGCTCCGGTGCGCTGCTGCCTTCCCATCGCGGTGGGCTCTGCCGTCCCCGACCGGCCGCGGCCCCTGCCGGGCGGCGGCTCCCGTCCTCCGCCTCTCCTCCGCGGGGGCAGCCCGGCCCCGGGGACCCAGCCCGGGGGCTCCCTCGCGGAGCTGGTGAGGACACTCAACTTTGCCTCCTCGCCGTCTCCCCCGCCGGGGACGACCCCGCGTCCCCCCGCCCGGCCGCGCGCCAGGGACGGGGAGCCCCCCCCAGCCCAGCGCGCAGCAAGTGGGGTACGGCCCTGGGCGAGTGGCAGGGGGCCGAGGCGGCTGCTGCCTCCACTTTCCTGGCCGGGCGCTGAAGAGGACCCCGAGACCTCTCCGGGGCTCCGGGCGCCGGATAGCTGGCCCGAGGAGCGCGCGTCCCACCGGGTAAGCGCCCCCCGCCCATCCCGAGCGGCCGTGGCTGCAGCCCCCTCTGCGCCGGGTTGCGGGCGTGACGAGGGGCGGGGGGTCCTGTGGGTCTGGGGCAGGGGGGTCTGCAGGCCGGAGCGGGAGCCGGAGCGGCGGGGGGCGGCCCGCCCTGGATTAGATGGAGACCTTCCCCGCGGGGGGTCCCGCCGCTGAGCTGGTGCACCCGCTGGAAGTTTGTGTCCCTGCCTTTGCCGAGGCAGGAGCGGAAGCGACCCTAGGGGCGACCGGTCGTGGGGCGAGACGGGACCCCTCCCCGGCACCTCCGGACGGACCGCGCGGTGGAAGTGTGCGAAGGGCAGGGGTCCGGGCAGCCGGCGCTTCGCGGGCTCCGAGCCGCTGCCTTGCACACCCCCGGCTGGGGCAGCCGCTTCTGTTTTAGTTCCAGCGGTTTGGGGGCGCACATGAGAAACGGGGAGGCAGTGGGACTTGGGCTCAACTCCGCCGAGCGCTTCGGCTAGTGAGGGAGACTGAGGCTGGGGCGTCCGGGCCTGGAGGACCCCATGGGCCGCAGGCTGGCGAGGCCCCTTCCGCGAGCATCTCTCCGCCGCTGCACGGATTTCGCATCCTCCGGCTCCGGGTTTCGGGGCCGGAGGCAGATCTGGGTCGCGGAGGAGACTGGTCCTCCCAGGATGTGGAGGAACCCCCGGCGGATGAGCGGTGCCCCGGGAGAGCTGCTGGCGGCGCCCCGTGCGGGGCCTCCCGCGGATCCCCTTCCCCGGGCTTTGGCGGGAAGCGCGGGCACTCCTCGCCCTTTCCCCGCTTTGTACCTGGATGCAGCCGCGCGGAGTTGGGGTTTAACTTTCCTGCGCCCGCGGCGTCCCGGGGACCCCCGGAAGGGGGCGCTGAGAGCGAGCGCTGGGAGCGCCAGAGGGAGGATGCTGAGAGCTGCGTGCGACGAGGTCCTGGGCGAGTGGGTGAGGGTCCCCGCGGGCAGACAGCAGGACCCGGCAGGTCCTGCAACAATGTCGTAGGGTGGAGGGTGGCGGCAGCTGATCTGCTGGCCAGAGGGAGCTGTCGGCATTGCTAGCAGGAGGGACAGGAAAGGTGGCTGCTGAACAAGTCCTTTCAATAGAAGGTTCCTTCTAGAGAAAACATCGCTGCAAACTCTTCCTGTCTGTGCATCTGTCTGTCTTCCTCCCTGTGACGATTGTCTTTAACTCGGGGGGAAAAAAGAGAATCGAAATTGCGCGAAGGTAATCTGAGCTATGTTTAATACTGACATAAAGTTCTGGTCCTCAGGAGAACATCCGTTAGTTAGCATGCCAGGAGTTACAAATGATCACTGCAGCTTGTTTTTAAGGAAAACAATCGTATGTCACCGTGAGCTTCTCCAGAAGAGCTCCATCATCGTGACCAAGTTTGGGAATAGCAGAGAGTATGTTATTAATTACAGTTAGTCTCTCCGAAGGAGGCACTGAAAGGCAAAAACAGACTTTCCTGGGGAAGGTTTTAAATGCTGAAATAGCATTGCTAAATTAATTGTTAATGAATGCCAGTTTTATTGTTGAAAAGAGAGTAAAGTTTGCCTTGCACTATGTTGAGTGGCCAGTTCACAATCTCAGTTCAGGCAGATCATATGGTGTGTATCACTTAAAGAACTTCTTTTCGGGTGTATGCCTGTGTTAACCCCAGAGGAAATATATATATTTACCTCCTAAGATTTGTATCCATTTGTAATAAAAAAGCTCAGTGTAACAGTTTGGGTCACTTGAAACACAGAATTCATGTTGCTTGAGTTTCTCTCTTGTGAAATCTTGGCCACAAGATAGCGGTTCTCCCGGGTGTGGTGTGGTCAGACTCCTGGAACTGTGGGGTGATGAACTAGTTAGTGCCTGCTTTTACATGCTTTTGCTAGTACCCACTTCTCTTAACAGGGAGAGGATGGACAATGCTAGTCATTTTATGCCTTTTACCAATTGTACTAACGGATTTGATGGTTTTAATGGCAAACAGCTGGGAGATCCCTGCAGAGAGCAAAGACTTTGGTCTCCGGGGTGGTCAAGCTTGTCTCTGTCCAAAAGATGTTCTTGAGATGTTTCGGATTTGGTCACAGTAAACCTGTGTTCTTCACTGCCCTTTCCTTTTAACATTATTTCTTCACCACGGCTGGACAGAGTGAAACGTAGGAGCATCCAATGCTGTGGTGTCCCTGGGATCTAATGGATACATGCACCTTCACGGAAACGGTGGCTTCAGCTTCAGAGAGTTCATGGACCTTCCAAAGCCCCATCCCTGGCTTTGCAGTGAGGAGTCTTGCTTTAGTCACTCTAGACTCTTGGTCAGGGACAAACGTTAAAACCAACAAACTTTTCTCTCCGTTGTATGCCGATTCCTTAAAATAACAGATGTCAGCTCCTTGAGCCTATGTTAGTAGAGGGAGCTGCTTAACTGAACCATTGCATAGTTTTTCATTAACTTGATTATTATTATTATTTTTTTTTAATGATTCCAAGTGTCTTTTTGTTGTTGTCGTCAAGTCCTTGAAATTGAAGCTTTGCTTCTGATACACATACATGTCCAGCTGAAGGTAAAAAGGTATTCCATCACATAAACAATCATGGGTTACGGAGTTAATGAAGATCAGAAACTAACCCCTAAGAAGAGGTTTGGATTACAAACCAGATAGCTTGCAGGTAGAACAAATCAATGAGTTAATAATACACCACAGTCAAGGAATCCATTTCTATAGTAGCATGTGTCCAGTGTAGCAGAAAAATCTCACATCCCTCAGCACCTCCTCCATAATTCTGGATTCTATAATTATACCAAATTTGTATTTAAAAATGCCTCTGAAATTGTTGCTCTAGTTACTCAAAGTGCTTAGGGTATAATTATAACACCAAGGTGACTGATTTTATGTTCAGTGTTAAATAATTTTTAAATGTAAATTACGGTGTCTAACAAATTGAGCTACACAGAGTGCAAAGTGTGAAAGTGGGACCTTGTATATTTCTGCCCACCGGCATCTTTTGGCAAATGTAGAGAAAAGTGAACCTTTTTCTTGAGTTCTAAGATGAGTATATATATATCTTGTATATATTGTTTTAAGTTGTTTATATTCTATGTTCTCTTAGTGACAACACACGTTTTCACATATGCTCCCAGCAACCTTTCAAAATCGAGACACAGTTTTGTTGAAAATTGATTTTTTTTTTAATCACTCTGCCTTGTAGAAATGACCTGCCATAGAGAGGGGACAATCTGCTTAACTCTTAATTCCTGTACAAGTTGGTTGAATCCTAAAGATTAATTCAACAGGTGAGGAGTTGCTCATTGGCAGGCAGGTTGATGAAGCACCTTTTGCCTTCTGGTATGCTTGATTACATAAGTTACTTATTTCTTTGACGTGAACTCATCAGGTCCTGCTATCCTATATATAAAATCAATTTCTAATAGCAAGAAAGGGAGAAAAAAATAAAAATGCGTTAGAATATACATAAAGTTTTCACTTTCAATGAGCCTTCCCCAAACTTCTTGTTCAGAATTTAAGCCACAAGGGACAAAGCAAATGCAAGCTCTCTTTAAGAGAAGATAGTGTTTTCTAAGTCACTCAGAATGTGCCGGTATTGACACAGCTACTCTTTGCCATTTGAAGATTCTAGAGCTAAGGAAACCTGGCTCTGAATTTCCCAAGAGTATTCTGAAGCCAGGCAACTTCAAAGCCAAGTTCTATGTCACCTGGCGCACGGCATTTAAGACAGGATTAGCCCAAAAGCAAGCTCAAGAAAACAGAACATTTTCCCATAGGAATTGCTGGTGTCTTCTTCTTCTTTTTTAATCCCTTCTTTTTTGTCCAAGATTAATGGTTGTTTGACCGGAGCAAAGATGAAAACACTTTATTTCCCTTTTCTAAGTTTTAAAATATATTGGCATTTGAAAAAAAAATCATTTCATTTTCTATTCTTTTTTTTTTAATCTTATACAGTAACACTGGTTTCTGATTAATACAAAAAAGTGTTACGCTCTAAAAGAATACATTTTTAGGGGTGCATTATTTTATTTTATTTCAATTTCTGGAAGGCCAGGAACTCACTAATCTTTTATCTCCTCATCTTTCAGTCACTATCTGTCAGTGTGTCTCTATGGAATTGGCTAGCCTAGCATTTGTAGAATGATGAGGGAGTATACCCATAAAATTTTATTTTATGTTGCCTTTTTATGTACATTTTTGAGAGTAGATCACATTACTGTAACAGGTAATGCAATTGCAGATATGTATAATAAGGAGAGTGATGCCATCAGAAACCAACTGTACTGGAGACGTAATACTGTATTTGCTGAGATGTGAAATTAAATAAGTTTTAGGCAAGTGACAGTCGGGATTGAGCAAGGACAGATTGTTCGCAGGAAACAGAGTCTCTTCTCCCTCACTTCACACTCACCTAATGGTGATCTGTGAGGCACCTGTGCAGGGAAAGCAGAGCCAAGAAAAAGTCACGAGGAGGAGAATTCCTCTGAGCGGTTTTCCTGTGCGCTGCCTGGAAGATGGTTAGCGCTTGGCCCCAACTTCCCCGAAGAGATGCATTCCTCATAAAACCGAGTCCAGATAAAATTCCACGCAAACAACGCCCCTTGTTGTAAAAAAACAACAGCCCCGGAGATATGACACAGTTTGGAGAGGGCTTCCCACGCTGTCCTCAGTCAGCACTGCATATGCATGCTGTGGAGAGAGCACCTCTGAGGCCAGGGACACGTATGGTCGGATCTCCTGCACCCATGTGGGTTTGAGAACCACACTGGCTTCTGTGACTTCCTTTACAGAACGGAGATTTAGATCTGCCATAAAACTTTACCCGTTGTAAAGCCGGGAACATTGTTTGTGCGTGGTGGCATAAAGCAGAAAGAATTGCCTTGGATGTTCAACTTCCCTTGTCCCATGGAAAGTGTAATGGAGCCATTGCTCATGCCAGTTGACATACACATACGAACGAAAGGAATTGCTTCTAGGAAGTCTGTCT